TTTTGACCCGTTTTGCATGCTTGTATCTGGTAATCTGAGCAACTTATGTGAAGACAAAAATATGCGGTGTAACAAACACTGGTGAATTCCTACAATCCTGCCTAGTGAAACTATGTATTGTCTCTAATGTTCTTTTCAATTATTATTTTCTTATTCTCTTTAATGGTTTGATCAATCTTCTATTCTTCCATCTGGTAATCTGAGCAACTTCGTTGAAGATAACAATATGTAATATAGCAACCACTGATAATCCTTATCATTTGGTTTGAAATCCTGTATCATTTTTAATGTCCTTGCTTTGTTTTGTTTGTATTTTGCTATTGTTCTTTTTTTTTACTATTCTCTTTAAAATTTAAAAAAAAAAGACATGGCATGCCAGGTGTGGTGGTATACACCTATAATCCCAGCACTCAGGAGACTGTATACCTGAAACCCCCACACTCAGGAGGCAGAGGCAGGAGGATTACCATGAGTTCAAGGCCAGCTAGGTCTACCTGGTGAATTCCAGTTCAGCCTAGCCTGAACTACATAGCAAGACTGGTTTCAAAAAACCAAACCCAAACCGAAGCCAAAACTAAACCAAACCAAAGAAACAAAAAAGAAAGATATGGCTCACTGTTGCTACAAGTATTCCTGCTGTTCACTGGCTACAATGTTTGCAACAGACACAGAACTGCAGCTCTGGCCTTCCCAGGAACAAAGCCAGTCTACTCAATAAAGGCAGAACTGTGGGCGGCACAGAGGACTCTCTCTTCCCTCTCAGTGGCTCTTTCCCTGTTTTCAGCACTGTAACAAGACTAGCTCTACTGCCCGGCATAATGTGCCTGAGGCCAGGTGTGGGCAAAGTCTGAGTCCAGTAAAGAAAAAAGACAGCATTTAAAGCATGCAGATGGCCTCCCTACCAGAAGGCACTCCTGGGCATCCACCAGCAAGGGCTTTGTCCGAACGCCCAAGCCCGGCCCAACACAGTGGCCCTTGCTACAGGTCACGGCAGAGTAAAAGCAGGCGGCAGGCTTCTTCCAGGCCCTGGGCGTGAGCCTGTCCATCAGGCAGGATCGGGAGAATGGGAGTACTGGAAAGAAATCTCACCTCTATAGTCAAAGGTGACCACGTGGTAACCAAGAGAACTCAGCACCTGTGAAGGGAAAAATCACACCTAGCAACACACCCACACTCTCTGACTGGAGCCTCCTGGGACATCCACAAAGAGCTCTGGGCTTGTGACTTGCACAGTGGGGACTTGACAGAGACTGTGGACACACAGTCCAGCTGCTTACTGCCCCCGCAGCTGCTTGGTCAGCTGAGGGACCCAATGCAACTCCTCTGTCCCTGGACAGCACTGCACTCCCACTGCAGGTGCCCGGGCATCCTGGGAGGAGATGGGCTGCAGAGCTGCCAGCCACCTGAACCACCAAGTATAATGGCAGACCTGGGTGGGGGATTCCACAGGGCCCCTTGCTGTAGCAGTCCAGCAGCCATCAGGTGTTTTGCTTTTGATGAATTTTTGCTCACTATTATTTTTTAAATACTTGTGCCCTGTGCTCGGGCTAAGGAGCACCCCAGGCATTGTGGGAGGCGGCACACCTCCAGCCCACAGCCACGGCAGAGAGAGCTGGTACCACACGCCTGGGCACCTGACATTCCTGCAGAACCTGCACCCCTGCCCCAGGCCTATCCCAGGGTACAGCAAGTCACTTCCACAACACGAATCTCACGAAACTGCACACTTCTCTGGCAACTCAACTTTCTCGACTTGATCTGATTTACTGAAGGGGACCTTCCAAGGCAGGGAGATGGGCCCACATCTGCACATCCCCCTCTTCCCACAGCAGATGCAAGTGCCCTCAAGAGGGGAGAGTGAGGCAGGCTTGGGCGGCCCTGGGTGCTGTACCCAAAGCTCCAACACCTAACACCCCAGTCAAGAACAAAACCAGGCACAAGGATGAGTCTCCTATACCAGGGCAGACCTGCGGGGACCTCCACTGAGTCTGTCTGGAACCTGAGCCAAGCCCTCACTGCTCTCAAGGTCAGCCTGCACCTGGGCAGCAAGGGCTGCTGCCAGAGCACATGGGTTTCTCCTTTTACATATGAGGAATGTCACGTTTAAGGACACCTTCAAATGCTGTCCACACCGTCTGCAGAGTCGGAAACAGATGGTCTGCCAAGTGTGCGCTGACGTGGGAGGCCATCCCTCGAGGCAGACCAGCCGGGCCCTGCCCACAGCACGGCCACCTAGTGATTCTGCTCTGCTCTCGCCTCCCGGGGCCACACATTGCCTCTGGGCTGTGGTGCTTACCTTGTAGAGCTCCACTCGGTGGTCGCCACCTCTGGCAAGGAAGGAAACAAAGCAGTGTTAGTGCCCCTTTTCAGCGGATCTCACAGAGCCTGGGATTCCAAACCCGCTCCAGCAAGGGACCCAGGTGGACAAGTGACTTTCTCCTTAGGTCTCCTTTGTGGCCCCCACTTGCCCCTGGCAGTACCATCCCAGGGAAGCACTTAGGGGAGATTTCTGCATTACTGGATGTATATTTCAGCAGGCAGTGAGTATCTTACGGCCCCAAATGCAAGACATACGAAAGCAAACACAGCAGGCTCCCCTGTGTGTTGGGATCACCTGTGTGGATGCAAGTGGGCCCCACTGGGACTCTCAGAGGCAGCCCCCACCCTCTTCCTAGGACCCGCGGACCTTTGGTGCTCCACTTAGCATCCTGTGGCCATCCCTGTGCCCCACAGCCTTCTGCTGCCTCCCTGGGCTGATGTCCCCTCTTCCACGTGTACCCCATATGTGAAGCCTGCACCTAGGCACAGAGGTTCTGCAATCGTGGTCTGATGGAGCTGCCACATCTCAGGTGGAAACTCCAGTCTCTTATTATACTATGTGGGAATGGCTGACCCTACACGCGCCACAGCAGAGCAGCTGTACCAGACATTTCCTATTTCTGAAGCTGAATATGCTTCACGTGCTCACACTTCTGTCTGATGACCTTCGGTGCCCTCAGCACTGCCCACACGGGCAGGTCGCTGGGTGGGAGGGTGTGTCGGTGGCGAGGGCAGCTTGGAGAAGCCCCGCGTCCCTTTCAGCCCTCTTTCCTGACACTATTGCTTGTGAGGTCCTGCAGGTGTGTGGGCGAGGGGCGGAGCAGCAATGCTGCAGGGGGAGACAACAATGAGACAAGGGAGGAAAACCAAGGAGGCACAAGGACAAAAACATAAAGGACTGTACTTCAAGACCAGGGGAAAATACTGCAAAACCTTTGCAGTTTCCTCTGGGAGAGTTTACGGTAGTGGTTTTCCAACTTTTCCCTTGTCTGCAATGAGGAAAAAGAAGTGTATGGGGTCTGGACCTCCAGGAGACTGAGTGCTGGGGTCCTGCAAACCAATGGAGCCTACCGCTGCCAGGGGCAACCCACTGGGTCTGGTCGGAGATGGGGTCAGGGAGCGGGGCAGGCCCCTGAGAGGTGAGGAATCAGAGACAATGCAGGCGAGATCTGCAACACAGGCTGTGGCTGGGGTGGGAGGGAGGGCCAACCTCACGGCCACTGTGGGCCTTTCAGACCTAAACTTATAAACAGGCTTTGTCTTTTTCTGTCACATGACTGGCTCTGCAGAACTGAGCCTTATTCATGCCAGCACAGTTCCCTATTTATAGAAAGATGCCCCCAGAGCTGTTTGTACACTTGCTCTCTGAAAAGCAGAAGTGAAGCCCACTGCAGCTTTGTCCCGGAGAAGAAGAGAGCAGGCAGCACGGGGCACGCGTGATTCGGGCCACGCGTGATTCGGGCCACGCACTCAGCACAGAAACAGCCATGGGCCACGCCCCCAGGCAGACACCCCTCACACCTGTTCCCCTCCAGAAAGGCCCACATGGTTTTCTCTGCTGCTGCCTGCAAAATGCCCACACCCCCGGGACCCTCACAGCATCACTGCGGTGCCCTGCCTCTGTGCTGCTGGCTCTCACAGGTGACCTGAGGAAGCTGCAGACGTGGTAACCTTGGGGATCTCAAACAATGCTTTGCTAAGAGGCTGCACCTCCCCTCCTCCCCTCCAGACTCCACAGAAGTGGGAGAGCAGCGGTGACGTGGAAGGAGCACGGCGATCTTTGGTTGGGGCGAGCAAGTCCAGCTCAAGCTGGCCTGAAGGGCGAACGATTAAAGCAGCCCGTTAGGACACACTGACGCTGCTGATGTCAGAGTAGCCAGCAGAGCACCTGTCCGCGGGCGGCGGGCAGCCAAAGGGACTGTGCAGACCTGCACTCTACCGGTGGACACACCCTGGACAGAGGGGCTGGGTTCCTCTGACAGACAGAGTCTCCTGCACCCCACCCCGTGCAGCTACAGACAGACTGCTCAGGCTGCAGTCCCCAAATCCACTCTGTGGACCGGACTGCTGGCCCCGTGTGCACTGCCCTGTCTGGTGAAGTTTACCCAAGCTCCGCCTCCCCAGTCCCACTGAAACTCGGCGACGCCTTTGCTCTCAGAATGCTCTCCCTCCCTGCAGAAGGTCTGTGAGCCCAATCTTGTGGGATTACAGGTTTAGTCCTGGCTGGGCCCCACAAAGGAGCTGTGCTCTGCAGGGAGGATGCATCCCACGTGGGCTCCTCTGCCTTACCTGGTACCTGCATTCCCGTGCAGGTACAGAATGATGGGGTGGCTCGAAGCCAAGGCATCCTCGTACCACATCTGGTCCTTCCCTTGGGCGTTCTTCCACCAGGCGGCAGGGATGGTGTGCCTGGGAAGAGCAGCAGAGGTGGTGGCGGCCATAAGAAGGCTACACAGGCGGCTCCCTTCACATCACAGGTTGCAGGGAGCCCCCTAACTACCGGAGGGTGAAGGCGCCCCATAGTTAGAACCGCAAGCTGCAGGGCCAGCTGCTGACAACCTCAGGAGCATTTCCTCAGGTACGCAGGCTTCTTCTGGGCCACTGAAGTGGGTCCTTGTAGAGGTTACCAGGGTATGAGGGGAACACCGCTCTCCCCTAATAACCAGAAGCTCTGTAGGTCGGAGCCTTCCTGAGCCCTGGCGCCACACAGGTAACAAGGACTCACTCATCATCGGCCCAGATGGCTCCGACACAGCTGGTCTCTCTGGCCAAACTTTCCCTCGGAAGGATACCAAGGTTAATTCCAATGCAGGTCAAACCGGGGAGGATCTGAATAAAGTTTCTCTATAAACCTTCAAATTCGTTTTACCTATCAGTGACAAGAATCGTAAGAGTCAAATAGCCAATTCCTTGTTTTTTAGAGCTTAAATTTCAGCATTTCATTCCTTTCGTTTTTGTTTTTTCATACTGGGGATTGAACCTGGGGCACTCTGCCACTGAGCTGCATCCCCAGCACTTTTAAATTTAAAAAAAAATTTTTTTTTTGGCCTTTTTTGAGGCAGGGTCTTGCTATTGCCATTTAGTTCAGGCTGGTCTTGAACACACTCTGTAGCCCAGACTGGCCTTGAACTCATGGCAATCCTCCTGCCTCAGTCTGAGTACTGGGATTACAGGTGTGCACCACCACACCTGGCTAAAAATATTTTTAAAGTTTTAAAACAGTATCTCACCTAAATTGCAGGTCAGGACTACCTTAGTGCTGGAATTACAGGTACTAAGTGCTGGAATTACCACATCCAACAGCATCTCATCTCTGATCTACCCAAAAGAATCACATTCTGGGCTAGTTCTGCCCACTGCAGTCATACACCTGTGCACTTCAAAGGTGCTGACACTGGCCAGCTTCCAGAAGCCAGTCCACCCAGTTCCAGGTTCCCAGGAAGCTCCCAGCTGACGAGAAGGCTCTGCTCCTGGCCCCGCCCTGGGCCAGGGGAGAGGAGCTGAGGCCACAAGGCTCAGACTCTAGAGGCCAGGCTGCTGACTGGCCTCACGGGCAGTGCCCTGTGGTCACCACAGTAGTCCAGGGGCACCAACACAGCAGTACTGACACCCAGCAACTCACCAAGCAGCTAGCACTGCCTTGGGATGTGCCACTGCTGTTACTCAGACTTCTCTGGGCAGGCAGTAGTACTGCTTTCACACTAATGACCAGTCCCCCAGCCCCGCCCCACCGCGGGAGACAGTGCTCAGCAGGGCACAAGAAGCTCAGGCACAGCAGGTCAGCTCCGGCCCGTGAGGGTCTGAGGAGCTGGTCAGATCACACACAGCACGACAGACTCCACCCAGCGCCAGCGGCCAACAACGCTCTCCCTTCTCCTTTTACGTTCTTACAAGCGTCTGCACATCCTCTCACCCACACTGGGAGGCCACTCATGGCATTCCATTTACAAGCTTCTCACATACGCAGCAGTTTTCTGGGAGCAGAAAGAGATTTTATGGCTATGCAAAAATAAACCCAGCTAGATGAAGGGACAGTGACTCACAGCTGCTTCTAAGAGAAAAAAGAAAATGCCAGTGAATGGCTTGACCAATCTTGATTCAGTTGTTCAGGAACACCAACTTTAATCTAGAGAAAAAATATTATAACACATTCTCAAGGAAAACACGGAGACGTCACAGGGCTTAAATCCAATTTGAACAATGCTTTTTTGAGACAGGGTCTCACTATATATAGTTCAGGCTGGCCTTGAACTCACTATTTAGCCCATGATGGCCTTGAACTCGAGGCAGTTCTCTTGCCTCAGTCTCACAAGTGCTACGGGCCTAAATCCAATTTCAATTTAAAGCAAAAACAGTAAATAGTTAGAAGACAGCAAATAGCATCGCTCCTGCTGGGAAGTTTTGCATGTGAAAAGAAACCTCTGCTGTTTCCTGCAGGGAGACATTCACTTCAGGCAAAGCGCATTCACATCAGCGTTTGCCATTCTGCGTGGGTGCGCGCTTTGTATCTAGCTTGCTCCCCGCTCCTTCAGTTTCCCTTGGAAAGAACACTCTAAAAATAATCCGGTCACAAAGCCTCTGCTACTTGGAAAAACTCAGCACAAAGACCGGAGCCATTTTCACCCTGCACCATGAGGATCAAATTTAGCTGAGGTCTCCCCACGGAGCAGGACTGGGAAGAGAAGACTCCGCGTGACACCGCAGAGCCCGCTGCGAAGGGCGCTGGCCGCAGCTGCAGCTGCACGGACACTCACCAGACTCCAATCGTCACATCTTCCTCGGGCTGGAGGTAGTAGTTGCAGGTATGATTCAAACCTTGCTCCTGCGGCTTTTTCAAGTCAATGAAGAAGGGAACCCTCACTGCAGGGCACAAAGAGATGGGAGTCAGGGTTAGTGGGTGTGCAGGGGCACACATACATATGTGCACTCACAACCTACCCACAAATGCACACAATGCACGCCCACACACACCTGTCGACATATGCACAGCCCCTACCTCCGACACCTGTGCACACGCAAGTCCACATTGCACAGCCCCTTACACGGCAAGGGGGGCTCCCACAGGGGCCTAGGCAGCGGGGAGGGGCTGAGAAGCACTGGAATAGATGGCTCCACAGGCAGCGCCGTCGGGGCAAGCTCTGAACAGAGCCTGGAACTACAAGGTTCTTCTTGATGTGAGATGCGCACGAGGGAAGGAAAGGCCTAGCGGGAGGGGGCCACAGGAGCCTGCACAGGCGCTCAGCTAAGCCACAGCTGAAGCCTGGGGCCTCGGGTGGCAGGGACCATGGGGAAGGGGATGACACTGAAGATGTTCTGTGGCTGGAGCAGCAGGCCTCAAGGACAAACTGAATTTAAGAGGCTAAGAAAGTAAAAGAATTTGCAAGTGTCTAGCCTGGTCCCTTACACAGAAAGGACAACCAAAAATGACGTGGGGCAGCTGAACAGATGAACCCAGAGGACTTGCCCGTAGGGAGCGGAGGTGAGCACAGCAGCAACAGGAGCAGGTCACTGGCCAGTGGGCCGATGGCTGGATCAACTGGTGCCCCGCTGGGAAACATGGCGTTAGAGCCAAAGGACATCAGGGCCCGGAAACAGATGAGAGGAACAAGGAGCAGCAGTGAGGTCCTGCGGTGCCGCGCAATCCCACTCCGTTACTGCAGACACCAGCAAAAGACACTGATGGCCACAACGCACCCACGTGTGGCACAGGAAAAACAGAGGCGTGGCGGGGAAAGATGCTTCATTTTTTTCTTACACAACACTTACTACATCTAACTGGACCTTTGGAAGAGGATTCAAGCCACAGGGGTGCTATACCGACTTGCTGTGAGGTGGTGGTGCCTGGGAGAGGCAGTTCCTTGGCCCTGACCTGGAAGGGTGCCCTCCCGCCCCAGCTCCAGTCTCTCTCTGGTTCCCGATGTGGCCGCCATGGTGCGAGCAGCTTTTGCCCACCATGCCCCTCTGTCACAGCGCTTCTGCCTCGGGAGTCAGCTAACAATGCTACAAACGTGAGCCAAAGTCCTCCTTTGAGTTCTGGGGGTCAGGTACAGTATCCCAGCGACGAAAAAAGTGATGGAGACACCACTGCAGTTTTTTTGCTGGCGGTAAGCACAACTTTTGAAGATAGGTTTAATTGAAACATTTAAATTGGGGCTAGGGTTATAGCTCAGAGGTGCAGCGCCCATCTGGCAAGTGCGAAGTCCTGAGTTCAATTCCCAGTAACCCCCCCAAAAAGAGGAAGAAAAATTTAAATTAAAAAGAAACCATAAACCCTGACATGGGATTTCTCACTCCCAAGTGAGCCAGTGACAAGCAGCAGGGCAGTCCTGACTTCTGTCTAGGAGGAAGCTAGAGGCCTGACTTCTGTCTAGGAGTCCAACCTCACTGTCTAGGAGGAACCACAGCTGCAGACAGCCTTCTCTGGCGAGGAGGAGCTTGCCAGGTGCATGACTAGCTCTCACTTCCACAATGTCGCTGTCGCTGAGAGAAGGCGCACTTGCTGAATAAACTACCCATCTGACTCACGAGGATAAAGGACACACATGCTTCTTCCTCAGACCTGCCTGAACGTGTGGTGGGGGAATGCCCCCTGGACTGCCATCTACACCACCAGCTTCTTCTTCTTTTTTTTTTTTTTTTTTTGGTCTTTTTGAGACAGGGTTTCACTATACAGTTCAGGTTGGCCTTGAGCTCACTTTGTAGCCAGGCTGGTCTCCAACTTGCAAGGATCCTCCTGCCTCAGCCTTCCGAGTGCTAGGATTACAGGTGTGCGCCATCACTCCTGGCACCACCACCAGCATCTTAATCCATCTCTTCCCCAAGAGCCAGCTAAATTAAGTTTCTCTTCTACCAGTGAGTCATATTTCCAAAAAAGACATGCTGAAGCCCACACCCGCACACGCACCCCTAAGGATGTGGCCTTAGTTGGAGAAGGGGTCTTCACAGGGTAGTAGAACCTGAACTAGGTCACTGGGGAAGACCCTAATGCAGCACAACTGGTGTCCTGACAGGAAGGGGAAGCCACATAAGGAGGACCACAAGCTTCTACAAGGCAGGGAGACGGGGACAGCTGACGCCCACCACATGTAGGCAGGGGCAGAAAGAACTGCACCCCAGGCAGCGCAAGCTGGCTGGCAGCGTGGTCTCAGACTGCTGGTGGCCTCCAGGACTGTGAGGAGATACACATCTGTCTTCCTAGGACTGGGGTGGGGGTGGGGTGCATACAGCCACACATTTGAGGAGCTCAGACCGTGTCCTGGCCACTGGACCTAGCAAAGGCTCTGGCCAGAAAGAAGCCTGGAAAGTGTGCCCATCCTACCAGCTGCTCCTGCACCCCCACTCTGACTTCACTACACTTGCACTCCACAGCCCAGGCCCTCACCTGACAACTGTGAGGTAAGGGGACCCCTCGAGCTCACAGTCAGTTTCACATCTGACTCATCCAAGCCAGTGGCCTCCCAAGCTGGGAACTGTCCACCCTGCCCAACAGAGGGCAGCAGTGCGGAGGGCAGAGGCCACACTCCCCCGGCTCAGCCTCAGGCCTCTCAGTTCTGCATCCACTGCCCACAGTTCTGCTGGTGCTCCATGAGAATTAGCAGCCAGGCCCAAGCAACTTAGGAAGTGAGAAACCAAATTCTAAAGAAAAAATTAAAAAAGAAAAAGGAAATCAACTTCTACTCCAGGACAGCCTCACTCCGGAACTCCGGTCTTCCAGCTCACTTTTACTCCTGATTTAAAGACAACTGTGAAGAGCAGGCACAATGAGGGCCTCACAGCCGCACCAACGCCATGCTTCCTCCACAGGTGGAAGCTGGTGTCCTGACAGGAAGAGGAAGCCACTGACCCCCTGCGGGCCCCAAGACCAGGCCTGGCGGGTTCACGGGCACACAGCCCCAGAGACAGGCGCCGTCAGAACCACTGGGTCAGTAGAGGTCTCCTGAGAGAAACGCCACTAAGCAAGGGACGAGGCAAGAGTACACAAGACACAGCTGGCCTGAGCACCCTGGGACTGCAGGGCTCCCTCCTGCAGGCCAGTACCAGGCGTGTGCCAGGACCCAAGATCATGCCTGGTCAGACCCCCTTTGGCAACAGGCATGGTGGCACACACCTGTAATCCCAGCACTGGGGACGCTGAGGCAGGAGGATCATTGCGAGTTCAAGACCAGCCTGGGCTATGTAAGTGAGTTCAAGGCCAGCCTGAACTGCATAGCGAGACCCTGTCTCAAACACACACACACACACACACACACACACACACACACACACAGATCCCCTTTGGCTCTGACCCTTCACAGCCCTGAGACTCTGGGAAGCTGCCTGAAGCCCACCCTGGCCAGACCTGGTTGCAAACACAGGCTGGAGCAGAGGCAGCCGGTCTGCTGCATGGGTGGCCTCCCAGGAACAGGCCATGGCAGGATGCTCCTCCCTCCCACACCAGCCCCAGCAGGACTGGCTGCACAGCCCAGGACCCCGCGCCCAGGCTCCAACCTCTGGCCCGCAGGGTCTGGCTAGCTGCTCACACAAGCCTGTGGCTCATGTAGGTTTTGTTATCCACCTCTGGTTATGTCATCACAAGTCAGCAGCCACAAGACAAGCAGGCCTGATTTAGAAAGGATTACACACGGACAATACAGCGAGTAAATAAATACGTGAACAGATGAAAAACAACCCACTCTGCTGCTTTTTAGCTAATCTGGGAAACTTGATAGGGGAAGGCTGAAATGCTGAGCTTGATAGTCTGAGGACCTATGGCCACGGGCATCACCTTACTCATCACAGCAGTAACAGCAGCCTTGCTGGGTAGGCCGTCTCACAAAATTTCAGTCACTCAGTGAGGCTATAGGGGCTTCCAGGGAAAGCAGAGGGGAAAGAAAAAAAAGCTACTAGAGCTGGGTGTCGTGGCACATGCCTGTAATCCCAGTACTTGGGAGGCTGAAGCAGGAGGATGGCTACAAGTTCAAGACCAGCCTGGGCTACATACTGAGACCCTGTTTCAGAAAGAAGAAAAGAAAGAGAGAGAGAAGGGAGGGAGGGAAGGAAGAAAAAGAAAGAAAAAAAGAGAAAGAGACGGAGAGAGAAAGAAGGAAGGAAAGTGCGAGCGGGGGAGGGAGAGAGAGGAGGGAGGAGTTCACAGAGACTGCTCTGAGGAAGGAAAGAGGCTGGGGATTATGCGGATTACAGATCTATTTCCAAAGGGTGCTGAGCTCCACGCAGACATCACGACTATGTTCTCCCTGGCTCTGAGCCAAGACTTCCTTCACCGGAGACACAGCCCTGACCTCCGACCTGAGGGCAGTGACATCCCGAAAGTACCCAGATTCCCAGGCCATACACGACAGGTGCCACACAGACACGGCCGGGGTGGATCGGGTTTGGGAATGCCAAGTTAGAAAAAGCATACATGCTGTGTTTATCCAAACATATATTTTTTTTTAAAAAGGCTGGCAGAAAAGAAACTGTAGTGCTACTAGAGTTCTAGGAGTAACTTCATTTTGTCATTTATATTACTTTGGTTTTTGGCTAAGTTTCCATGTATTTTTTTGCTTATGAAAATATATTTAGAGTGGACTAACACCTTAAATCACAGGTACTATGCTTCTTCTAAAGCTTTATCTGATTTATACATTTAGTTTCAGACACGTTTGATGTGAGCTTTAAGCATACATTAACCACGGTCTGGGGCATAAGACCATTTCACCCCCTTCGGCGTCAGGGTCAAAATGGACAGCCATAGAGTCACAATTCTCATCTGGAGGGGACAAGAACAAGGCACCCCGTGAGCACCATGCAGGGTCTCCCCTATCCTGAAGCGAAACTCCAGGTCACCAGGGCCTGGCTCAGACCCCTACCTCCTGTACCTCTAGCTAGGAAAGATGGGCACATACACTTGGAGCCTGACACGGCAGCTGGGACACTGACAAGCTGGCGCTGCAATGCAGAGAACGCCCCTCCAGAGCTTTCTTGGGGAGTGCACCATCACAGCTACCCAGGGAGGGTGGCAGGGCCTGGGGACAGGGTGCTGCTCCCAGGAGGCACAGCCATGGTGAGCGCATACCTGGAGCGTGGCACAGGGTGAGGCAAGGCCCGGGGCCAGGCTGCGCAACGCCCCATCACGGCTCCCAGCATGCTGCCTGCTGATACCAGCTTTTCTGAGTAACTTTTCAAAAGAGGTCAGTCAGGTTTGTATGCTACTGAGAACTACAGATCTTTAAACATACGACCGTAGAGCTGGAGGCATAGCTTAGTGGTACAGTGCTTGGCCTGCATGCTCACAGCCCTTCGTTCATCCCCAGCACTGCAAAGACAAAATACAGCACCAGCCACAGGTGCTCCTGGGGCCTCCGAGCTCCCGACAGCCCACGGCCCATGCGCAGCCTCCTCTCTGCCTGTGGGGGCTGAGGAGGAAGACCTGAAGTTCTGTTCTGGCAGAACATTCTGTCCTCCCCTCAGAAAACCAGCACAGCAAAATCTGTGGGTTGTGCCTGAAGTAGCTCCAACAATTATCTGCAGAAAATCAATATAGATCTTTGCTTGGAACACACAGTGTGCCCCAGTGTGCATGCAGAGCTCATACCCTGCAGCAAGAACCTGCCCTTGGTGTAACTTCTGAGGAAGTCTGGAGTCTGTGGGCTGAGCCTAAGGTCTGCACTGGCAAATGCCACCCTGGGCGTCATGGTTATACTCAACCCAAACTCTTTTCTGTGCTTTACTCTACACTTAGGAACCTTATAGTCAGAAAACCAAAACTCCCTTGATAGTAGGGTACAGCTAGTTCCTGTTTCAGGCTGTACTTCCCCAAAAGTGACAGAACTTAAGACACCATAAATTCCTATGTTACACATACTTTACAAGTACTTTATCATTATCTAAATAAAAAACAGTACAGAGTCACAAAGTAATAAATGTCAACCTAGGGGGCTGGGGATTTAGCTCAGTGGCAAAGCGCCTGCCTGGTAAGCGCAAGGTCGTGAGTTCGGTTCCCGGTACCGGAGAAAAACAAAAAAAAAAAAAAAAAAAAATGTCAACCTCACTATTTACATTCCTCCCACCAGTATAAGGAACAGAAATTCCCTGTTAGGCAGTTTCTGCCAAGCTTCTGTGACCAAGTCTGTCACTCGCTGATTACCCCAAACTCTTGAACCCAGATCCTACAGAGCATGTAGTGCTGTTTCTACAGGGGGGTCTCAGCCCCGAGATAGACCTATCCACTCAGCCGTCCCTGGCTTGCATTTCCCAGGCCACAGCAAATCCACAGCACCGAGCACCCGCAGCTCCTGCATGTGTCCTCTTCCTATGACCCGAACCACAGCTCACCTGGTGGTACCTCATCTATAGCCCCTCAACTCCTAGCTCACTGCTCCCGCGCAGCAGCAAGCCCAGCTGCTGAGCCTGACTGTCACACAGAGCCAAGCCCGCCCTGAAGAGCTCACCAACAGCCGGCGCAGAGCCCACCTTGTCCTGTTCCAGCGCTGTCTGTGCTGTCCTCAGAAGCACTGTTCTGCCTGGAACCTTTCCCCACCGCCCCACTACCCCCTCATCAAGACTATAAAATAGTCTCTGAAGCAGGCGTTCCCAACTCCAGAGCCAGGGAGCAGGGGAGCAGGGGAGCAGCGGAGCAGGCCATGGCCAGTCAGGAACCAGGCTGCAAGCAGGTGAGTGCAGACAAGGCGGCAGACTTAACAGACACTCACAGCTGGTAGCCTCGCCTCAGGACATTCCACCTGAGCTCCATCTCCTGTCATGCAAGTGGGAAATCAAAGTTCCGCTCCCCAACCAGCATCCACCGCCCCACCAAAAATCTGTCTTCCAGGAAACTGGTCCCTGGTGCCAAAAAAGGTTGGGACAACTGTCCTAAAGGGACCGTGCCCAGCAAACACACAGGCCAGCCCTCGGACTTGTCTCCTAAGCTTGACCCCTCTCCCCTTTCTCCCAAAGTAAACGAACACACACACACGCTCCAAAACACAACATGGGAACAGGTTAATCGGAGGCGCCTACAACACTATAAGGCCAGCACAGGCAGCACACAAATCAAAGCAAGTCAGGTTTTCTTAAGGAGAAAAGAAAATTAAGGAAAAAATAACCTACATTTAAGTTTTAAAGGTGTTATATTTTCCAGTGGTCACCTTTTTGGGAGGTGGGGCATTGAGACAGGGTCTCACTATGTACTTCAGGCTGTCCTTGAACTTACTGTGCAGCCCAGGGTGGCCTCACACTCACAGTGATCCTCCTGCCTCAGCCTCCTGAGTGTTGGGATTACAGGTTTGCACCAACCTTGCCCGGCTTCAACAGTCACCTTTTCTAAGGACAGCCTCTTTGACTGCACACAGGCAAAGTACCTCCAAGTAGGACAGCTGTGGATGACTTTTCATACTGCCAACATCTCCACTCACTCTGCTGAGGAGACTCCGCATCACGGGCACAGCCACCCAATGGCCAGCGGACACGAGGAAGCACCCTTGCCACACCCTGACTGTGCAGACACTGGGAGCTCCTGGGCACAGACCGGTGCTATCTCTCCACTTAGCCACTGCACATTGTTCCCTGAAGATCTGTACATTTCACTACATGTAAATTCAATCTCAGAATAGACACCCACTAAAATCAGACATAATCATGAAAACAAACTCTAAGAAAAACTGACACACAGTACTTACCAAAATTCAGGAAAATCAGCTTGGCCTGTATCGCAGGACACAGTCTGACGAGGAAGGGAATGGCGATGTACAGCCCCAAGATACAGAGAAGCACCTTCCTCAGTCGGAACCACAGCCCCTTCCGCCTGCAGGAGAGAAGTCGTCACAGGTCAGAGGGCGGCCGGGATGCCCTTCGCGTTTATGCAAGGCATGCCCAGCACCATCCAACAACCGTCACGCGTTTCCAAAAGGAGACCGCAGTAGTGACTACAGCCTCCGGCCCGCTTACGTTAAAATAATACTTTGAGGTAGTCTTATCTGAGGTAGAACTATGTTGTAAGAAAAGTTTTGTTTTCTTTTTCTTGAAAGCCAAAGCCAACAGTCCTGCTGATTTCTTAGGACTGTCCTTGGGCAGGAATCCAGCAGACAGCGGCCCCTCCCTCCGAAAGCACTTCACCTGACGTGAGACCCCAGCTGCCACTTCATCTTGGCAGAGTGGCCTCTCTGGGCTCCGCAGTCACTGTGCGCTGGCCACCGTCCTGAGTTACTCATTAGCTCTCCGTAGGAAGCACACCCAGCAGGACATCAGCAGAACCTGCCCAACAAGGTGCCAGAGCGAGCTGAGAGCTGAGAAAAGGGCTGGGGCTGTGACTGCCCAGGTGCTTCTGCCCAGCCCTGCGCCGTCCCACAGTCTTCTCCGGGGCTCAAGCTGGTGGGCACCCCAGAGTCTCAAGACCTCTTCTGACCCCCAGCACTAACCCTCACCCTCTTCCCGACCTCCTTTCAGAAACTTCTCAAACCTCTTGGTCTCAGGACCTCTCTACAATGAAAACTGCAGGACACTGAGGCACATCTGTTTGTAAAGTTTGTTACTATCATATGAGAAGTTAAGATATCTAAAAATGTCCAGGGCTGTTGGGGACCACCAATTGTAAACCAAGGCTAAGGCCCAGAGGCCTTAGATCCCATGATGCTGCGCCGCTCCAGGGCAGGATCCTCATTAGTTTAAAGCCACCAGCACCCTCCGAGTCATCTTTTGTGACCCGAGCAACATACAAATTTTCTCAGCATCAGACCTCCGCTGCTGCCCTGAGTATCTGATAATCCCCTCACCATTTTCCTCAGTGTAATCGTGATCATGAATACAGAGGTTCTGGCTGCTTGGCAGTCTTTTTTCCCCTGTGAGCACCTGATCATTCCAGATCCTCACCACACTGCCATTCTGTCTCTTGCTCTTTCTTTTCACCGTGCGATGTAACACCTGGCAGGACACTGGAGGCCACTACAGGGATGCCCGACACAGGGCTGGTGATATACCTTGGTGTATACTGCTTGTTTAGCATGCATGAGGCCCTGGACTCTAATCCCAGAGCCACCAAGAAAAAGAAAAAACAGGTCCATTAATTCATCTATAGTAATAATAAACCATCTACTATATGTCAATATAAATCATATTTATTATGAAAAGCAATTCTATTTTCCAGTACTACAAATTTTAGTGAGAAGCAACATTCACATTTTCATGCATTTCTTCCCATTTCTTTAGGCCAGAGCGGCTCCTCCGGTCTGTTCCCACTCAGGCTCCATGACGCTGGTAACAAAGAGCCTCTGGAAACCCCCTCGGCCTTGGACCAGAGAGCACTTTGGCCTTGCAGACCTCCTACACAGCTGAGCCCCACAAGCGTGCAGGGCATGCTTTTTTGAAAACTTGCTCTCTAGAGCCAGGGATACAGCTCAGTGGCATAAGTGCCTGCCTGGCAAGCACAAGGTCCTGAGTTCAATTCCTGGTACCAAAGAAAGAAAGAAAGAAAGAAAGAAAGAAAGAAAGAAAGAAAGAAACAACCTGTGAAAACTTGCTCTTACCAAACCAAGCCTTACTGGGGCTAGTTATTCACTTCTGGACCTAAGGTGATTCTAAAAACACACCGAACTGCTGATACACAGAACAGAGATGAACCTCAAAAGCATTCTGCCATGCTAAAAAAGAAGGCCACCGAGACTGTACACAGTAAGAGTCCATTTACCTGAAATCCCAGAAAAGGCAAAACTACAGAGATGAAAGAGTGAAACAATGATTAGAGGAGCTGGGTAGAGCTGGACATTGACTGCATGAGGCGCCAGGGAATTTGCTGGAATACGGAAAGAAATACTCTCCATCTTGCTTGTGGCCGTGGGACATGACTGCATACATGTGTCCAGACTCAACTATACAACTGGAATTGGGGAATTCTATTACATGTAAACAACACCTCAGTAAACCAATGTAAACGTAATCTGATAAAGCTGATGACAAATATTCACACGGGTAACATCACTCACTCCCTCACCCAGCAGTGCAGTAGGTGGCTGACAATCAGGGCAGCAAAAGCCTGTGTCCACATCTGCACTGAGCCCACAGCCCCGGGCATGGCAGGACGGGCACGTGACAGGCACCTGGGGACATGGCCCAAGAACATCACCCACGGTGATCTGGCTTGCTCTAAGCTACCAGAGAGGGGGCACTGGGTGAGAGATTAACTCGGGAATGCAGGAATTAACTAGATGCTGCGGAACATCTCAGTCACTTTCCAGTAGCTCACACACAATACCTGACACCCTCAACTTAAAGGAGCTTATTTGGGTTTAAGAGTTTAGTCTGTTGCTGGCAGTCTCCAAGCAGAAACAAGATGGCAGAGGGGCCTGGTGGAAGCAAGGTGCTCACCCCATGGCATGGCAGTGAGGAAGCAGGCAGCAGGAAGGAGCTGAGGACAACACCCCTAGAGACCCACCTCCAAACAAGCCCCACCTTTCCTTTTTTTTTTTTTTTTTTTCAGGCAGGGTCTTGCCATGTAATTTAGGCTGGTCTTGAACTCACTATGTAGTCTAGGCTGACCTGAAAGTCATGGTGATCCTCCTGCCTTGACCTTGCAAGAGCTGGGGTTACAGGTGTGCACCAACACACCTGGCTATGGCCCCACCTTTTAACAGCACATTTAGCCGTACTCATCCACCGATGAGTACAGCACCCCATGATCCAACCACCTTCCAAACACATGAAACTTTCAGAGCCATTTTAGATCTGAACTGTAATATTCCACACCAGCCCCCAAAAGATTTATGTGCATCTCCAAGAGTTGCCAAAGTTGTAACAGTTCTGGCACTGATGAAAAGCCCAAATCCAAAGTCTCCTCAGAGACTCAAAGCAAACTCTTACCTATGAACTATGGTAAAATTGAAAAAGCAAGTTATTTGCTACCGAGAAACATTTGGCACAAGGTAAACAATCCTATTCCAAAAGGAAGAAACAGGGAAACAGAAATAAAGTGGATCAAAGTGTGACTGAAGCCCATCAGAACAAATGGGAAATCATGTAGCATCAAGCCCAGTACCCATGGCACATGGCGGCAAGATGTGAGGGCTTGAGCAACTCTGCCCCTAACAGCCCACACTGCCCCTCTCTTGAGGTGGCTCTGCTCACTGCTTAAGGCTTTCCTCAAGGGATGTTCCACATTCCTGACATCTCCAACTTCCTGGAGTTTTCATTACACTTTCTTGGCTTTACTCTCACAGCTTCAGGCACTGCTCTCTCAGAACACACTGCCTGGCCTCTCAGGCCTGCTGCAGTCTGGGTGGAAGCCTGTGTGATCCCATTCTGCTTGCCTGAAAAGCCAGCACTGTGTGGATGACCTCAAGGTTTACTGCCAGCTTGAACAGTAGCCAGGCTCCCTCGCATCATGGCTGTAGAAGCGTCAGAGTACCAGGACAGCTGAGCATTGTGAAATGGGTCCCAGGGAACTAATTCCCCAAGTGGTCTCTCTCAAGCAGGCACCTCAGAGAAATCTTCACAAATAAAAGCTTTACTTAAAGTTTTGCACCCTTGAATCTGTGAAGGGTGGGGTCTTGCTGATTCCTGAGATGCCCTAAAGCCATCTGATGCAAAGTACTCAGCTTCTTTTTAATGGTAATCTTTTCAGCAACCGTGTCTTTCACTGCGAACTTTGCAGGCACACCCTTTCTGATGAAATTGTGAACTTTTTTATATTTGCTTCTTGTCCCTGATTCTCACTGAGTATCTGGCTAAAAGCAGCCAGCAGTACCCATGCCACAGCCTAAATACTGGGCTGCTTTGAAATTTCCTCTGCCAGATTAACTAGTCCACTGCCCTTAACCTCTGTCTTCTGCAGTCTCAGGCCACACCCAGACCACAGGCCAGGGTGTTGGGCTGAGCTGGGCTCTCTGTCCCACCCACTTCTGTTCTGGCCTCTTTCTGGAGAGAAGGCTCCAAGCACATGCCCAGAGCACCCAACACACTATCAGTTTTTCTTTCACACCATGACAGGATCTTAGACATGTTCTGGCAGAAGACTTCTTCCATAAATTATTTGCGGTGAGGATAATGTGTACAAATTACAATTTATTGCTGCCCCCTAGAACAGTGGATCCCAAAGCAGTCCTTGTTTAATCCCTGGATAAAGGATGTAAGGTAGCCATGACCACCCCGGAAGACTGAAGCAGGCAGAGAGGAGCATGGGAGGTCAGGTTCTGAGCAGGGAGCTACAGCCACACGGCAGGTGAAGTGGCTACAGGCCCACATTCAGCCAGCTCCCATAGCAAGCAGCTCAGTGCTGGACTGTAAGCAGCACTGCTGTGGGCCCTACCTGCCCCACCCTTGGTCTCTCTGGGATCTATAAGGCATTACTCATCCTTCCCACAGCAATGCCAGAGATTCCACAAATCAGGCAGTGACACCCAGAGGGGAACTGTAGAGGAAGGGAAGAAATTGTAAAGACTTTGTCAAGTTTCATTATTTGCCATACAATGTCAACCCACCAATGGTCTTTCAAGAAGGGCAACCTGACCTACAAATCACTTTAAGGGTGTTTTTTAAAACACAGTACTGCAGCTGATGTGGTGGCAGAGACCCATAGTCCCAGCACTCAGGAGACACTGAAGCAGGAGGATTTCAAATTCAAGCCTCACCTGAGCTATCTACTTGGTGAATTCCAGGCCAGCCTGGACTATACAACATAGGACCTTGTCTCAAAAATAAAAATTTACAAATACAATACAATAAAATAAATACTTAAGAGATGCCTGTAATCTGAGCAGGAAGACTGCATGTTTGAGCATACCCTAGGTTACAGAGCAATGTGATTGGAGACAAAAA